GGCGAGGCTGCCCTGTGCGCAGGCGCACCCCGGGCTCGCCCCGCCCCATTCCCGGGCCTCAGGCTTCCTCCGCCGCTTGAATTACGCCTGCGCAGAGGCTTTCCAGTCCGTCTCCTAGGACGCCAGACAGACTGCGCCTGCGCAATGCGGCCATTCCGCAGCGCTACAATTCTGGCTCGTTTCGGGGCGTGGATGGCTGGCTGTCACTAGTTGGGAAAAGGAGGCGTTTCCAACACAAGCCCCATCTTCTGGCTCTTGCAATACTCCAATATTTAAAAAAACACTAGCAGCCCTGGCCGGTTTGGCCCAGTGTTTGGAGCGTCGGCCCGCAGACCGAAGGGTCGTGGGTTCAATTCCCCATAAAGGGCACGTACCTCGGTTGCAATTCCCGGCCCCCTGTTCATCTCTCTCTCCCTCTCTCTCTCTCTCTCTCTCTCTCTCTCTCTCTCTCTCTCTCTCTCTCTCTCTCTCGATCAATGGGAGGAATATCCTCTCGTGAGGATTTTTTTAAAAAACACAAAAAGAAAAACCCCAATAGCAATTGTACATTGTGCCCCCATCTGAAGAGCTAAAGACTTTAGATACATTACTGCGATTGATTGATGACTTGTTTATGATCTCTCACCCTTAGAAGGTGAGGTCGTGAAGTGTTTTGTCGACATCCTCACTTGTATCTCCAAAACTTAGAATGGGACCTAGAATAGGACCTGGCACAGGGTAGGTTTTCAATATATTTTTATTAACGAACTAATGATCCATCTATCATCTTTCTTATTTGAACATCTCCCCTGAACACCACTCCCCTTGGATATGTAATAGGCATTTCAAATTTATTGTGTCCAAAATTGAAAGGTTGACTTCCATCCCTCCCCCAGTATCCATCCCTATCACTCCTACCTGCCCCCCACCAAACGTCAGAGAACGTACCTCATCACAAATATAACCAGAATTCTGACAATTGTTTGGGTCAAAACCAGTCTCTTTCTCTCATGCCCAATATCCAGAGCTTGTTGTCTGTATCTTCAAAGATAGAACCAGAGTCTGACCATTTTTCACCACTGGCACCATTGCTCATCTGTATTACTACAACAGCTCAGAAACTGCTTTCCTTGCATGCATTCTTATCCCCTCTTAGTCTGTTTTCAACACAGGAGCCAGAGCGATAATCTTAAAACATGAATCAGATAGTGTCTTTTCTCTGTTCAAAACCTGTCAACGACTTTCCATCTCACAGTGTAAATGTTACAAACCTTCTTTTCATGTCCTACAATCTTCCCCTTGCTCAGTGTCCACCAGTCCCACCCGGCCTCCTTGGTTCATGTCATCACAGGCATGCTTCTACCGTAGAATACAAGGGCTTTTGCACTTGCAGTAGGAACTAATAAAAATAGCTATAAAGCATTTTATTTCGTGCCAGTGTACTGTTCTAATTACTTTCTTTTAAAAAATTAATTTAATTCACAGAATAACCTTTTGAACTAGGTATACTGGTTATTTTAAAAGAAAATGGGAATAACTATTTTACAGATGAAGAAACTGAGGCACAGAGCCAAGTAAGTAATTTGTCCAAGGTTATACATATGGGCAGTGACAAAGCTCAGATCCAAACTGAGGCCCTGAAAAGCTCTCCCCCTAGATATCTGCCTGACCCCGTCACCTCCTTCAGAATATCTGCTCACACATCACCTCAGTGAGCCCTACTACCATCTATTTTAAAATTCCAACCTTCAACTCCAGTCTTATCTCCCCTTCCGGCTCTTTCCATAGTACTTACATCATCTGACACACCATACATATGATATATATATATATATATCTCCAGCTTTATTGAGAATATCATCACATATCACATAATTCATCTATTTAAATTGTACAACTCCATAGTTTATGCTATATAGAGAGTTGTGCAACCATAACCACAATCAATTTTAAACATTTCCATCACCCTAAAAAGAAACTCTATACTCAGAGCAGTCACCCTCACTTGCCCTGCCCCCACCCTCACCAACATCCCAGCCCTAGGCAAATACCAATCTACTTTCTGTCTATAAATTTGCCTATTCTGGACATTTCATATAAGTGATATTATAGAGTTTGTGGCCTTTTATGAATGGCTTCTACCACTTAGAATGTTTTCAAGCTCTGTCCCTATTGTAGCATATATCAGTCATTTATTTTTTTAATATATTTTATTGATTTTCCACAGAGAGGAAGGGAGAGGGATAGAGAGTTAGAAACATCGATGAGAGAGAAACATCGATCAGTTGCCTCCTGCACGCCCACTACTGGTGATGTGCCGGCAACCAAGGTATATGTCCTTAATCAGAATCCAACCCGGGACCCTTCAGTCCACAGGCCGACACTCTATCCACCGAGCCGAACTGGTTAGGGCTCAGTCATTATTTTTTATGGCTGAATAATATTCCATTGTATGGATATACCGTTGTGTGAATAGGCCACAATTTATCTGACTCGACTATTGATGAACATTCGGGTTGTATCAGTTTGGGGCCATTACAAATAGTGCTGCTCTGAACATTAGCGGGTGCCTTTTGTGCACACATGTGCATCTCTGCTGGGCACATACTTGGGAGTGAGACTGTGCGGCTTCCGTGTATTCGCTGTATTTCCGGACTACAGTCTACGGGCATGTCTATTTTATTCATTGTTATGGCCCAGCGCCTAAGATACTGTAGGTGTTAAATAAATATTTCTCAACGGGAAAATGGGATGCATGAATGAACGATTTTGTAAGGGAGATCATCGCGCTTTTTTTCTTGCTTTTTTTTTTGGAGAGAGAGAGAGAGGTGGTCGAGGCTCTGGGAGGTCAAGTCGCTGGCACGAGGTCACACTAGGAGTCAGAACTCCTCTCAAACCTAAGGAAAGAAGCAGGCATGTGGCCGGCGTCCTTCTCCCGGGTCCGCGGGGTCACCAGCTGCCCCGTCCGGGCT